ATTTATAACGTATTCTATTCGAACCTACTACGTACGACGTCTACGAATCTATTACCTTCGTAAGTTATCGACGATACTTAGCCGAATTCTATCGTTATATAGAACGAAGAAGAATACTAGATTAAAAGGATTATTCGCTATAAATTCGTATAAAGAGGTCGAGGGTCTTAAAGGTAGTACTTAGTAAAATAGACGAAATATATAGAACTAACCTAGGAATCGAAATTATCGCTCTAGAATATCGTAGCTTTAGATATATATAAATCGATAGTAAGATAATCGGCTCCCTAATTACTATACGAAAGTAAAGAAAGAGTACGTACGAAGAAACTATAAGAGTAATAAAATATCTAATTATACTATATATATTTAGCTTATTTAGTTATCGTACGATAAAGCCTAATCGCTACGTTAAGGTATAAGCTATAGTTAGGTATAGAGAATATTCCTTATCTACTAGAATTATACTAATATTAATATAAGTACTATACGAGGATAAAAGAATAAAAGAAATATCGTACGTATCTATCGTTAAGGGGCGGGCCTTTTTATAACTACTTCGCCGAAGCGAAAAGGAAGAGGAAGGAGGAGGAGAGCCTTACGAATAGGGAGGAGAGCGCTATCGTTATCGAACGAATCCGACGATAGTACTATAATACTACTATCGTCGTCTTTATCGCGCTTCGAATAACGAGTATCGCGATTCGGCTACTTATAGTTATCGTACGTACTATCGAAGTATCCTAAGATATATCGATACTCTAGAAATAGGCGTATTAAGCGCTTATAACGATTATAAGGATCGAAAAGAATACTTCGGCTCTAAATAAGTAAGGTATTAATATACGATAGTCGATACGATCGAACCTATACTAGAGTAACTACTCCTCGTACGAAAGGTACGTTAGTTTCTAGTATAGCTAAGACCGTTCGTTAAGAGATATTATAGTAGTATAGTACTAGCGATTACTCGAAGATAAGAAAAATAGAGATTTAAGTTAGCGCGAACTATTCTAACTAACGCTAAGTCGTAGCGATATCCTATACTACTAATACTATATTATCTTAACTTTTTCGTTTTCCTATTAGTACGTACGACTAAACGGAAAGGCCTAGGGCTTAGAGTATAGAGGACGAATTAAAGAGAAGGAAATAGATTAGTTCGCTTACTTATTTACTATATCGACTATAAACGTTTAAGAATTAGTAACGACTAATAATTATATATAATAGGAGTAGAAATAAGTACTTATAAAAACTTCCTCGATAATTAATATAAGAGAAGAAAAAGTAGAATAAAAGTAAGTAGGAATAAAGATTTTACTTTATACGCTATTCGGCGTTCGACTAGTTCCTATTAAAAGTAGCGGCTTCTTAGCGTCGTACGGAGAAAGGAGAAGAGTAATATTACGAATTAAATTCGTATAAAGTTCTAGAGTACGCCCTAGAGCGATTACTTATAGTATACCTTTAGGCTATATAACTATATAGCCGAAGCTACGTAACTCCTCCCTATCGATTATCTCCTAGGAAACTATACTAACCTACTATAGGAGAGGGTAGGGAGTATTTCCTTTATTCGTATAGTAGATAGATTTTCTCTTTTCTTTTCTCTCCTTAGCTTTAGTAGGCTACGCAACGGGTTAGGTTAGACAACTCGTAGACCTTTTATAACTCGAGTAAAAAGCCCTATAGGATTTTTAGTCCTTATAAAAACCCGATTAACTAAAAACTTAATAGGGTTTATACCCCTATTAGGTTTAGTCTTAGTAGCCTAAATTACTAAAAATAGAGATTATTACTTAGATTATTACTATTTTTAGTAAAAAATATACTATTTATAGTAATTATTTCTATTTTTCTTAAAAATAGTCTATTTTTAGTAACTCTTGGCAGCCCTATTAGGTTTTAAACCCTATCCTCTTTTTTTTTAACCCGATTAAAAAACCCGTTAGGTTTTTAGCTATTTTAGAAACCTAATTAATTTAACCCTATTAGATTGGGTTCCGGGTTTTCAACTAGGTTTAGCCCAATCCGTTACGTAGCCTAAGCTTTAGAATCGTCGCTATACGGTAGTTAGACGAATTACTCTAAATTCCTAGCTAAACCCTTATATATAGTAAGTCTATAGCTAATATATACTTTCGAATCCTATCTATATTACCTACTAAGAGAGTTCTACTACTAATATTAGGATATTAATAGCTATATAAAGCTATAAGTTAGTTATAAAGTTACCTCTAACTAACTAAGTAGGATCTACTTAGCTTATTAGTATATAATTAAAGTTACTAAGATAGCTAGTCGATGCGCGGCAAAGATAACCGGCTTTATACTATTTTTAAGTATATAGGGATTATAGTCTAAGAAGCTCTTCGGGAAGAGAGAATTCGATCTATATTTTATCCGTCCTATTCTCTACCTTTTAAAGTTCGACTTTAAGATTCTACGAACGGAATCCTCTATAGCAATACAACCTTATAGTAGGGGGATCTAGTCTATAGCTTATAATTAACGCTAGAATCGCTAAGAGGAATTTATATTATATTTAGGCCTCCGGAGGTAGCAGTCGCCGGTATACTTATTAACTAGCTAGATCCTACGGGAGAGTCTTACTAGAAGAAGATAGGACTATACTCGGAAACAATAAAACTAATAGAAGAAATCACTTAATATAGGGTCCAAAGGTGTGCTTAAAACCGATTAATAAAGCTATTGCAAACTAGAGTAGTTTACTATATTAGTAGGTTAGCGCTAATTCTGTTTTGGCTGCTAGATATTAGACAAGTCGCTTATCTCTTGGAATGTCTAAAGCACCTATATCACCAACTAATTACAGCGGCTTTATATAGTCACTACCTAAGGGACGAAGGGTTTGAGATCCCGTCTTTCCATTCCCTAGAGAATAAAGGCCTTTAGGCAGCCGCAACTACTAATCCGTAGAGTTATACTGAACCTTAGGGGGCGTAAGAGCAAATCAATGAATATCCACTGTGGAACCCTTCTCCTCTGGATTTCCGTAGTTACGGTAGGAAAGAGCTATCGTACGCTGCGAGAGACGGATATATACACTTCATATAGCAGTTAATGGAGAAAGGCGTTGGGCTGGAGCCTAAGGACGAGTCTAGTCGGACACCACTATTATAGGCAGGAGGAGAGGGACATAAGGCGGTGGTTAAGCAGCTGCTAGCGACGGGTAAGGTCGACGTTAACTCGAAGGATAAGAACTACGGCCGGACGCCGCTCTCGTTGGCAGCCGAGAGGGGGGACGAGGCGGTGGTCAAAGCTGCTCGCGAGGGGTAAGGTTGACATAGACTCGAAGGATAAGAACGACCGGACGCCGCTCTCATAGGCAGCCGAGATGGGACACGAGGCGGTGGTCAAGCAGCTGCTCGCGACGGGTAAGGTCGACGTTAACTCGAAGGGTAAGTACGGCCGGACGCCGCTCGTATAGGCAGCCGCAAACGGGTACGAGGCGGTGGTCAAGCTGCTGCTCGCGACGGGCAAGGTCGACGTCGAGTCGAAGGAAGGCTACGGCCGAACGCCGCTCTTGTTGGCAGCCGCGAACAGGCACGTGGCGGTGGTCAAGCTGCTGGTGGAGCAAGGGGCAAAGAGATCCTGGTAGCAACGATGTCTTTATGTTATATTTAATAACTTTGATAGGGAGGGTCTTAGGGGCGCTGGTATTTATATACGATGCAATATTGCCACAAGGTAGATCTACTATATTTTAGATGACTCTCTCATAGTCGACTAAGCATCGCCTAAGATAGTCCGTTTCGTGTTCATTTGCATCCCCTCGCTCTTCTTGCTTCCTTCGTCACCACCGTTACCTTCCTTTCATCTTTCCTACCTTTCAAGCTATCGATGCCTTCTTGTTGATCTCGCTTCCCTTCCCGTACACCTTCCTGGCGTCCATAGGGGTTGTTTTGGGTTTGTGTACTCGTGAAGGATGCGGGGAATATTCGTAGCACGGTAATCTTCCTTCTCTTATGAGAGCCGCTTTGCCCTCGGTCTTATCTTCTGTGGCTTGTTCCAATTTCCAATAGCTCCGTGCTGCCGGTAGGGTGATTTTGTTCACTACTGAAGAGTGTAGCTCCACCGTTTCGCTACCCGTATCGTCTCGTAAAGGGGAACGGGCGAGGCTGTGTGTACAACTGATTGAAAAGTGTATTCAAGTCCGAACTGTTGTTGACATCTCTGAGGGACTCCAGAGTCGGGTCCTTCTTCGGTGGCCGTCAACCCGTCACCGCATAAAACAGGAATGAAAGTGGAAGAGAGCAACGAAAAGGGTGAACGGTTGAATGGAGAATATAGGATGTTATCGCTGGTGCACGGTGTCGAGTAGGGGCACATCTATCGATCATCGTGGGCCTTATTTGTGTTCGCTAAGGATGTCACTTGGATGTCACTCAAACTTTGCGTTGCCAGATCGTTTATTTGGCTGCCTCATTTCTTCCTCTTTCGCTGAGCCGACTTCGTATTAATCGGATTCGAGCCAAGGGCAATATGAAGTTTAAGCGCGTTGGGGCGGTCGGGACGTTCGCAGGTCTTAGGAGGCATTGCAGCTGCGGCCGAGGCAATGTTCGAGATTGAAGGAATGGCAACGCGGGCGGAAGAGTAAACGGCTTCGTGAATCTGCCACGACCTTGTGGCTCAGAACGCTTTTTTAGTAGTCGCAAATCCGAGCTAGGTTCCAACAGCTGAGTAGCAGAGAAAGGTAGTTAGTAGGTCAGGCTCGGTGACTTTCACCAATCTAAAGCGAAGGGCATTTAGGTGACCGCCACCGTTATGGCTCTGCCAAAAATTCAGTGATAGGAATGATTGTGGCAGGGAGCTGCATAAACAGCTATATTCTGAAGGCATCGAACCATTCAGCCGTGGGGCGCCTAGGCAGGTGCCGGTCTTTCAGCATAATGCGGTGCAGGCAAGAAGGGCCAAAACTCGCCACGTACGGACAGGAATTGTCGCGTGCAATAGGAGAGCAGGCGGTTGATTGAGCTGCCCTTTGACCACGAATTTCCTCCGTCTTCGGCTTTGCCCTTGTCATCTTGCACCACCCCTCGCCAAGTTTTCTCTTGTTTGCTCACCACAATGTCCCCCAAGCGAATGTCGATACCCTTGGAGAGATCGGGAATCCCACCACCAATGCCCACCATCAACCCGACTCGGAGCGCAGGGAACGTCCTCGCCATGTCCTTGGCCACAGTAACCGCAGGGACCGACCCATCCACCCCCTCTGGCATACACGCAATCACCACATTGTGCTGGTGAATGCGACCTAACATATAACTGTTGTGGTCTGTGGGTCCTGTCCTGCTATCATTTCATGTTCTTCGTCCAGCATGGCCATGGCGGCGGTCAATTCGATGTTCAGCGCGCATATCCAGCCAATGTGGTAGTCTTAAACGGTGCGGCTGGACATCATGAGGGGAGTCGTAAGGCGCAGGCGTAGCGACTGCAGGTAGAATTGGGCTGGGATTTCGTGGGGCAGTTAATTCCGGACCATAATGAGGCCGATGCGGCGGCGCTGCAGGACAACATTGAGCAATCGTGCGAAGGTCTGTCCAGATTAGAGAAAGACTCTGCGAGGACAGGAAAGGAGAGGAGAGCCGCTGAGGGTAAACACCGAGCCTCAACATGCCATGATCAGGCAGGGAATGGTCCAGCACGAGACATCGGTATGGCTGTATCAGCACATCGAGCAATTGTGAAAGAAGTGAAAGTAGGGCTGAGGCTGCACAATACTAGAAAGATGGTTGAGAGAGCAAGGGGGAAAAATGAAGAATGCTGGGCGTTGGCAACATTGTTGTTCAGGTCGGGAATGTCGACTTCACGCCCAAGCTACGGTGGACGAGGCTTGAAGCAACAGCAACATCTGGTGCGCTGTGCCTCTAGCTTAGCTGAATGGCAGCTGGGCCGCTGGGGACAAGTGCCAGGTTCCTAGGGCGGTGGGAGCAATACATGACTCCTCAATATCACGTGCAGAGTTCCTTGGAGGCATTGAGGCGGCAAGATCGCTTAGTCACGTCATCGTAGCCGGTGGCTGAGTAGGTGGCTGTCATCTTACTTGCCATTTACGTGCCATCGTACTCGGGTCGGTTCTCGGCTGTTTGTTGGTATGGAAGTACCAGACAAGGGCGCTTGGCAGCACAAGCAATGATCGAACTGCTCCGAAATCTCGGCACGCTCACGCAGACGGTGCCGCTTTTAAGACCCAGATGCTCGCGAGTCATTATCTTCTCACTTTCAAGTTTCTTCTAAGTTCTGACCCTTTGTTAGGAGCGGCCTGTGGCATAGGCACAGTGATAACACAATGAGAATAGGTCTTCCTATCTAGGTGCTCTAGTTACAGAACTCAAAGCAAAAGGAAAGGAAGTTCCTTCTGCGGGAAGCCCGCAGTAAATGTGCGGTTCCCCTGAGTTCTCTAGGCAGTGCGTGCTTGGTAAGTTACGCTTGGCGTGAGGTTTGGGGTGTCGTCTGCTCTCTGTTCCGTCTGTTCGTGACATTAATAATTGATGTAGTTCATAACTAATTGCAGTTTGGAGAAATTTTTGAGACACGATGTCGCTTGAGATGCTCAATTGAGACCCCGATCTCTTCGCATGGGCCGAGCATCCTTGGCGAGCATCGCTTTAAGGGTCAGGGGCCGGAAGCTGAAAACCAATCGGCAAAGTTCCATCAGCCTCACTCGAAGAAACCGGAGCCGAACATCATCAGCTCGTTTCGAGCACGAAAAGTGCCCCGGGCGCGTGGGATAGTACGGGGGACATTCACCAACTTTCCGGGGTTAGTGTGCACATGGATGAAGTCCACAAGAACCTGGAACCTTTCAAAAGGACGACATGTTCCTGGAAGAGTTCGTATGATTTGGTCCTCCCACCTGTTCCGACCATCATCACTTGAGACACACACAAGCAGCGTTTCACTACCCCTTTAGGATCCTTCAGACACCACCAGGAAAGATGGAGGACGACAAGCATCATGATGTGGAAGAACACAGCATAGCTCCGCCAGTAGAGCAGGAGTCTCCCGAAGCCCACGTACATGCCAAAACTTATCTCGTCATATTCGTAAGCGGCCTGCTCCTCTAGCCAGGCATGATATGTCGTTCTCAAAGGACTCACACCTCTCAGGCCATGTTTATCGTAAACCTCACTTCAGTCACATGCTTGGTCACAGCTGGAGCGGTGAGTCCTGCTCCCCGAGCTACTTCCCGGGACATGCGCCGGACAGAAGAACTCCCCGCTGACTTCTCGCCAAGTTTGGTCAAGTTCTCACAGCGGTGGTGGGTGGTACCGACAAGAGTAATTGGATCGTCGGTGCCATTTCTCTACCCATGGCTGTCCTCAGTGCCCCGGTTGCTCAGGCAGCCGACTACTGGGGAAGACGTTGGCTGCTTATCGTCTTGACCTCGATGGGATTCGTCGGCAGTTTAATCACGTCTCGATGCGAGTCGGTGAGTCCTCAGCCAAGGTCACCAATCGTTGGTTTTCTTTCTGTTTTTCAAAGGCTGACTGTTTGTCTCTGTAGATTGGTGTGGCTATCCTGGGACAATCGTTTATTGGCTTGTCCTTTAGCTGCATCGTCAGTGCCTCAGCCTAGGCCGATATTTTCAGTTTGTCTAACACTCTATAGTCCCTTACTTTTGCTATTGTATCAGAAGTTTTACCCCATCGTCAACGGATGACCGGTCAGGCTGTGGTGAACTCGGTATGTTTGGCTCGGCTCCGAGTCTGGATGCCTCTGCGAAGTGTCACCATGAAGCTGATCCTCATATCCGCTAGGCCAGTGCGTTGGGAGGAATTGTTGGGATCTATGCGGCCGCATCGTTGGTCACCAATCATGGTCCGAGCGGCTTCAGAATTGTAAGTGTCGGCGACCGACCGGAAATGGCCTGCTCAATGACCCCACGATGTGTCCGACAACCTCTTGCTGACATGATTTCTAGCTTTGGTATCTCGATGTACGTGACTGTGTCGAGCTGAGTACGGTGTGGAAGTGAGAGAGAGATGTAACTAACGAAAGCGCGTCAGGCAGCATTGTACGCCGTTGCGGTGGTCATTACGCTCTTCTGCTACCGACCTCCGCCTCGTGAGTTGCAGAAAAGTCTCACGTCGAGGCAGAAACTTGAGAAGGTAAGTAGAGTTTTCGAACGATTCTCTGACGGCTCTGAACTCTGACACGATATGATGTGTTGATATTAGTTGGACTGGATTGGGGGCCTTCTTCTGACCGCCGGCTTGATTCTTTTCTGCCTCGGTCTGTCCCAGGCACGAAATCCTTGTAAGTCGTTTGCAGGGATGAGAGGAATTTCGACAACGAAACCTGACTAATGGCGGTTGACGATGTTTAGATACTTGGGATAGCGCCCAGGTCCTCGCTCCAATATGTGTCTCGGTGCCGCTGCTCGGGGCTTTCGCGTTGTATGAGTGGAAGGGCACTGTCGAGGGTATCGCCAATTATCAACTCTTCTCGTCAGTTCGCCTCTCGATGTTCTTGACTGCAGATGAGTCATGACCAGGCAATCCGTACTGACAGTGGACAGATGTGGCCGGAATTTTGGTCTTGCACTCGCGTGCATTTTCTTGGAAGGATTCAGTGAGTACAATATCTAAGACAGACCCGCGTCTGGTTTCCAACACTAATGCTCACAGTCTTCACCGTAAGGTCTCTTCTGCGTGAAAGCATTGCTTTCAGGAAAGCTAAACTTGTCTCCCTTGTACAGCCTACCAACATCTATTTGCCCTTCATGCTCGAGTCAGTTTACGGAAGAACTCCGCTTCTTATGGCGACCAAGTGAGTTGCTCACTTTTCTCACTCACGCCTGTCGCACGAGCTGACACATTTCTGTTCAGTGTTACAGTCCTGCAAATCGTCTACGGGGTGGCCTCATTTGCTGCTGCCCTGTATTGTTACCGATACAGACGGCTGCGTATAGTCATTGTGGCGGCGTATCTCTTCCTCACCGCATACAACGCAGGCATGGCGGCTTTGGACGAGGACGACTCCAACGCAGCCTGGGGTGTCCCTATCCTGGCCGGTGTACCAATCGGGCTCGCACTTTGTGCACTTGTTGCTGTGGCCCAATTCAGCACTCCTCCTGACCTCATGTAAGTTCTGTTCTGTCGGGAACTCTGCAAACCTGATAGAGTATTCCGAGGTCAGCCAGCATCAGCACAACATTGACTGACCCTACGATACTGATAGCTCGGTCACGAGTGGTTTGCTGGTGGCGGCTCGAGCCGTGGGAGTCACCACTGGGACGGCCGCCTGTGAGTGAGGACGTTTTGAATTTTCCAGTCGTCAAAATCGATGTGCTTTGCTGACACGTTTTCCATGGCCCAGTCGGCGCCACCTTCAGCTCTAAATTGCAGTCCAATCTCGCTCCCAAGGTTGCCGAGGCCACTCTCCCCCTAGGACTACCCTTGACATCGCTGCCACTCTTGCTCCAAGCCTTGGCAGCCCACGACGAGGAAGCATTGATGGGTGTCCCCGGAGTAACGCCTGCGATACTAGCTGCAGGCGTCAAAGGCATGAAACAAGGCTACATTGTTGCCTTTCGAACCGTCTGGATCGTTGCGGCAGCCGTTGCCGCTGGAGGTCTTGTCTGTACGTGCTGGTCCCCCAAACATTGGTTGGTTTATGGTTTTCGAAAGATCTGCGCACTAACACGTCTTTCCACGACACCACAAGTATCGTTCTTTTTCCAAGATAGAAAAGAGGACTTCAACAACAGAATCGACGCACCGGCCGAAAGTGAGGATGCTCTGTACGGCGAGGCCCTCCATAAAGGGACTACGGCATGAGACCGGGGGCTCAGGACTTGTGGTGGTGGCTTGTCTGTGGAGGCTGGTGCCTACGGCCCTGAGGTCTCAAGGCGATGCCCGGGCCTAAGGTGCTGCTGTAGAAGGCTCGGGCACTCGGGTCTATAGCCATGAAACTGCGAGATGTTGGGGGGTGGACTACATCGAGAAGTGAAAGCGGTGGCGGATACGGAGCATAAGCATACTTCGCACTCCATACTGAATCCTGAATCCTGAAATTCGAACCACTAAGTCCCAGTGCGTTCGCACACGTCGTCCTCCGGACGACGACGGACAGCTACGAGGCCATGGCACATTGGTGCATGGACCTGTTGAGCGCTTCACCACGCCGGCGGGGTTTTTAAGAACTTTTTGAGTTTGAGTTTGGATTGGACGAAAACCCCCTTTCCTACCACCCTTAATCCCTTACGACGCGAAACAGAGAGAGCCGGTACCAGTCACAGAGAGACAGAGAGAGAGCTACTTAGCTTAAAGAAAAGCCCCATCTACCGATGTCGATGTGTGGGTCTAAAACGGCCATTCGGAGTAGATTCTAGAGAAGCGGTGAGAATCAATCATTGTTTTCATGCATCACTGGTTACTCGACGCACAACGACCAGGCCGAGGTCGTAATATTGTCGTACATACTTATACGCTGCCGGTCCCCGGATGCCAGAGATCAGAGTCACTTATACAAAAGTCACCCTGGGCCCGAATTCTTCGATCCTCACAATGCCGTCATTCCCGACTGGGCGACGCGACAACGTCTTGACAATGTTTTGGGATTCTCATCATGTTTTTTGGGCAAATGTTGCGCCAAACCTGTGACATGGCAGGGAACAGGCCATCTGTCCCTCGCCTGCGGCGCATCACAATGCTTGAAAGTTTGCTTCCAAGTAACATCCTATCAGGTCGCAAAGATGCCCATGTCCAGTTCCTCTGAAGATATAACAGGTACCAACGTGCTCCATAGGTCCATGTCGCCTTCGAATGAAGGGTCAAATAGCTGTAGGTAAGAGACAGAGTCAGCCATCCGACCGGTCTTTACAATCACCATTTTTCCCCCTCAAGTGCGTGCGCGTAGGCGAAGTCCAAAAAGTTTGAAAACTGTAGAGGTGGGAACACACCTCTTGGAAGTATTGGTTTTCACCCGGGTTGGGAGTGTTGGATTCAGCTTCAATTTGAGCACCGACACCAGCATTCGATGAGTCCATCATCGCAGTGCCGGGTTCGCGAATTTGAGCTGCGAAACCTGCATCGGAGGGTCTGGCTGAGTGGACGGCCGCGGAAGCCGCTGCAGCCCACTCACCAATGTATGGCCAGTTGAAAGCACCGCCCGTCTCAAAATTGAGACGATGAGCGTATCCCGAGGCGACACCCATCAGAACCAGATCAGACTGGGCGGTGGCCGCACCTGGATTGGACAGGATATGGATGAAAAGCATGATGGATGCCCGGAATGGTCCATACAGTGCAAGCCTGTCGTTTGATCAGATCGGTGTCAAGTCTCGTACACAGGACAACAGACTGCTCCACCAGCTAGGACAGACACTCACAGTACCGGTGTAGTGGGCTTCAGACGGATCAAGCCAGTGCACAGGATGATGCTGCGCGCAGTCTCGGCAACGGTACGACAAGAGCTTTCCACCTGGGCTCGAAACGCGTCGAATTGGCCTGAGTCGGTGAAATGGAACCAAGGGACAAGCAAAGAGCTGTGAATGTCGATCAAAACGCTGTAGTAGAGAAAGTATGCCACCATGAGCTGACATCTGGTCATGTTTTGTGGTAATTGGATATCCTCGATAGCGTCATCGAACGGTATGAAGTGCTTGACGGTATGTTTCAAGGAATCTACCTTGGCGTTCAGCTCGGTCACTGCGCGTATTATTTTTTCTGTAGGTTGTCGCCGGGCTCGGGCACTTGACAAGCGCCTATATGCTTGCGATTGAATTTGACCAAGCAGGACACAGATCGTGGTGAATGTGGCGCTTGTATCACTGATGCTAGTGGATATGTCGGGAGTGTCGCAGCTAATCTCATCGTCGTCTATGGCCTGTGATGATGGTCAGTGAACATCAAGCATCTCTCTCGTCCAGGATGACGATCCTACTGGTGGAAGTCCCGAGCGGGAAGAAATCTGCCTATCCAGTACGTATATATTCCAAAACAGCTGGTTGCGTTGCAAAATTTCCCGCCGTGAAAGTCTCCACGTAGACGGTGCCTGGCAGTGGAGGCCTTTTGCGATGGCCAGGCGCATTGCATTCGAGATCAGGGTATATGTCATGTGGGGGCTGCCGATGCCCTCGCTGAAGTATGCCTGGTCTCTTGTCAGGCGCTCGTTCGTGTAGGTTGCCGGATCCCGAGACTCACCATGAGCGATAAGGCTCTGACGCCGTTGATGGTAGCGTGACGATGCATGATGTCTGACTGTACCGACAAAGCGTTTCCGAAAAGAGCCATGGACGCCTCGGCCGCACGTGCATATGGCTCATTCTTACTCAGAGCGATTCGACATCCGAACGCATAGACCGTGAAGCGGAGGGCAAACCACGATAGATCTTCATCATCTGGACTCGGTATTCGAAAATGTTCGAGTAGAGTAGTGTAGAACCAGTATTGGTCAACAATCCCGAAGGCGGCATCGAGCGATTTTGTAAAGAATGCTACAAGTGTATCGAGTTAGCCATCGCGTTCGGAGACCTTGCCAGAGCCAGACTCACCATTGACGTACGACCAAGCAACATCCTCAGCAGGCTCGGAAGCCGGGAAATTTGCTGGGGTCGGGCCCGCATTCTGCTTGAAGAGCATGGTGACAGTCCTTGCGAAACGGTGTAAAGATTCTCTCATGGCAGGGTACTGCACCTTGCTCTCAAGCCATTCAATACCTGGCTGAGATGCAATAGATAAGAAGGCTCTCGGTCCTTTCGCGGATTCCCAAGTCAGCTTGGCAGAACCGAACATGATACGCCTTCTTACCAAAGTATTCCCTGTTGGACTTGAAGGTGAATGTCAGTCCCCGTTCGTATATTGAATCATCGACTATAACTCACCATCTCGGCTAAGAGTTGCTTTGGGCTTTCTGCTAGAGCTTGGGTGCTTCCAGTCTTTGTGACGCTCGGCGATTTGAGACCTGTTGTGGCAGTCGTAGCGGTTTGGCTCTGGAAGTAGGCCGCATCGATGATGACGCGTGGCATCTGATCGTGATCAGATTCAGTACTGTTCCCTTGGCCGTCAAAATTTGCTCCTGCTACGGATCTAGGCTGACGATGGTCCAGGGTCGAGTCGAGATTAGATGGCACCCAGGTCGATTCAGACCTGGTGGCATTGTCCAATCTGTCAACCTCGTGTATTGTAATCGCTGATCGGTCGTCCTTGGGGAGTGCCGCCACACAGAAGTCGGTTCGAGCGATCGAGGTATCCTCTGTAGGGGCTACTCTCCCATGTCCACCATGGGCATCGGCTCGATGAGTCTTTGATGACGAATTGATCAAAGCTTCCAATCGAACGAGCCGAGTTGACATCTTCTCACTGCGAATTCGACGAGGCTTTTGACGGTTTCGAGTAGGGAAAAGGCATTCTGTATGGTGGCTGGTACATTGCCTACACGGATGCCCTCCTTCACCTGGACCCAATTTAGCCGGACCGATAGAGCCTAGGAGATTACAATCACTTACACTTGACTTTCTTTGTGCGGCAGAAACTGCAGGCTTTGGCGTATTTCGTCGCCGGTGCAGGCTCAGGCTCAGGCTCGTTAGATATCGGGGTTGCCACAAATTCACCCTCCATTTTGTCGGACTCGGAAGAAAGAGTGCACGCGTCAGTCACTCGCTTCGGGATTCGACAAGTTTCACGGGTGTTATAGGTGGCTCGCGGTAAGGCCCATTCGAAGCATCATGGGCAGACGTTGACCGAGGAGCGCGCGTGGCCAGAGGATCACAGGCGAGGGTTTTTGGAAAGATCAAGTCGTAGGGCAAAGGACCACACTTTGACAAAGACTAAGGGTGCCAGTTGTTACCTGATGGGCACACGGCGAGGAACGATTTACGTGCCTCGGGCAATTGAGCTTCCCCATTGATCACGTGGCGTCGCAGTCCTGTCGGGAAGGCAGGTGTGACCGTGTAGCACACAGCTCCAAGGAACCTCCCCAGCATTCTACGCATCGACGCCCCGCGAAAGCGGAGGAGGTCTAGTAGATGTTGGCATTCAAACAACCTCCAATCAAAAGTACGGGTGTGTAACACTCAGGGGTACGGAGTACGCCGTGGTTGAGCGAAGTCTCCGGTCCCACATCTTCGGCATTCGGGTAAAATGGGAAGTCCGAAACCCAAAGGCGCAACAATCACTGACTTAGCTAGGTCCCAACTACCTAGTAACGGAGTACGACATGCCGGAGGCTCTCATCTGCCCGAGTCGCAGTATGGAGGTCCTCGTACTTCATGATCCCAGGGAGATGTATCCCGGGCATCCACGAGATCGACAAGAGCCTAAGCAGGCCGTCACAGACACGGCATTTAAAATTCAGTACCTAACACGGTAGTGTCCTCTTCAAGCTCGGCGTCCCAGACTTTGGCCGTTATTCTGTCGCCTTCAAATTACAAACAGGCCGTCAGAACATAAAGTTCGACCGCCTAACGATTCAATACCAGTTGTTTCCGCAGAAATCGTCACTGCCATCACTATGCGGTCCATGGGAGAGGTAAAATCCACAAGAGTGCTCGTCGTTGGCGCAGGTCCCGTTGGCCTACTCACAGCTTTGATGCTCGCCCAAGGCAGAATCAACGTCGATGTCATAGAAACCGCCACGCAGATCGACCCACGTCCACGGGGTATTGCTTATGGACCTCCCGCAGTCAGGTATGCCTTTTGATTCAGTTCCTTGTCCCGGGGAGGTGAAGAGGCGTTGTGCTGAAATTGCGGCGCACTAGAGTCTTGCGCCGTGCCGGAGTCCTGGATGAAGCTTTCAAGAGAGGGTTGGAAGGCAAAAAAATGATCTGGAGGGAGCTCAATGGAAACAAGGTACGAGACTACGAGTGTTTACTGTCAACCAACGGCATCGGTGGATTGTCCTGATCAGAGACTTCGTGTCAGATCACCGAAGTCGATTTTACCAAGGATCCGACGTTCACTGACCGATCCCTCATCCTGCCCGTCCACATCCTAGCCGGCTTGTTGTACGAAGAACTTGGCAAACTGGACAACGCGAAAGTCCACTGGGGCTGTAAATACGTTGGCCACAGTCAAGACGACAGTCATGTCCTGGTCGAAGCTGAACGCGATGGTCAGACGGAGACGTTCGATGTGGACTTCATGGTTGGGTGTGACGGTGGTCAGAGCGCCGTACGGAGAGCGCTGTTCAAGGACTCGTTCCCCGGCAAGACGTGGGATGTGCAAATTGTGGCAATGAATGTAGGTGGGCTCTCTTTCGTGGTCTTTGGGACAACCGCCAACATTTGATGGCAGATCCGTTACGATGGTTTCGAAAAGGCCGGATGGTCCGATACGCAATGGATTGTCGATCGCGAGCACTGGGGTATGGCCTGCAAGATCGACAATACGGGCTTGTGGCGTTTCGGCTACGGCGAACGTCGTGCACTCGGCGAAAAGGATCTCATGGAGGGCCGCGCTGCGAAAATGGAACTGCTCTTGCCGGGGGCACCAAAAGAAAGCGAGTATGATGTGCTCAGGTGGAGTCCCTTCGTGATGAATAATCGATGCGTGGAGAAAATGCATGTTGGGCGCGTCCTCCTTGCTGGAGACGCGGCCCATTTGTGCAACCCAATGTGAGTCGACGACGCATTCTCTGATACACACACGCATTGGAACGGAACTAACCCACATCGACCAGGGGTGGCCTTGGTCTGACTGGAGGCATTTCGGACGTTGGGAGCCTCGTAGATGCTCTGCAGGGCATTCACGAAGAAAAGGCCAGTTTGAAAATCCTGGAGATCTACGATCAGACGAGGAGAGAAATATTCTACAAGTTCATCGATCCTATCTCCTCAGCCAACCTGGAGCGGATATGGATTGATGGATCAACAGCTTTGGAGAAAGACCTTACTCTACAATTCATGCACGCGGCTGCTCAAGATCCGGCCAGGCTGGGTCATCTCCTCCGTGTAAGTTTCCAGGTCGATCCGCTACGGAGACGGTCGATGTTCTGACCAAAAGTCACAGACGCAGGATGTACTGACTGCAGATTTGACAAAACATTATGACCTGGTCAGTTGAGCTTCTGGCAGCGTCGACAGCAATGGACAGTTCGAAATGAACCGGAAATGCTCTCATGCAATGATAGAGAAGAATTGATATGCAACGTTCAACATGAGGTCAATGCTATGGCATAGCCCAAATGGGGTTAAAGGATTGAATTGATGGTGTTGCAAAAGTTGCAAAAGAGCGTTCTAGGCGAACATATTTCTGTCATCAAATGATTTCGGAGCTATGATCAACGGAAAGTCGTTTTGCGAGCTCGAAACCCCAGGCCTCTGCAGCCTTGTCACCTGTGCCTAGGGCAAGTGGTGGACTGAGGTGATTATGGCCCGGAAGCTCCCAGTATTCCGCTTGTCCGCCGACGTCCTTCCACTCTGTCGTCAATTGCTTCATCGTGTCTATGAGCAAGACAGGATCATACTCAGTGGCGATGAGCAATAGCTTTGGACAGCGCAAGATTGTCCCGTTGTCATCTTTGGAGTGACTGCTGTACTTCCTTCGCATCAAATTGATCGGTGCATTGTGGACGATAAGTTCGCGGGTCGTGTAATATCTCAATAGATGAGGCACTATGTGCGCCACGAATGAGTTGTCCGGATCTGCAAGCAGCGTAGAACTAAGAATAATCGCCCTGCTGAGAAAGAGCTTTGCTGAAGGCTCCGTGACTCGTTGCGTCGACCCTGTGAACTGCTTATCGAAGAGCCACCCAGCTAGATGTACACCACCAGCCGAATTGCCCATGATGAACAAGGTCCTCGGTTCGTCTCTTTTCGTGCAAAGATTCTCCTCAATCCATCTGATGACGAGGTCGAGATCTTGTCCGCCGCTGTTGAACACGGCACCGTGCTGTAGCAGGCGATAGTTCATCACAACAGCGTCGTACCCCATCTCTTGTGTCAGAAAAAAGGCTAGACCTTTGTACACCACTTCGCCTGGGATCTCGGGCGCAATGCTCCCCCCACTGACATTGGCGCCACCGTGGACAAAAACAAAGATTGGTCTATATTGGCCCGAGCTTGAAGAAGGGCGATATAGATCGAGGGTTTGACGCTCATGGTCGCCATAGCGGTGGACCTCTCTTGGGATGCTGTTGAGCAATGCCAAACTTTCCGGTCGGCGTAAAAGATCGCCAAATGCCTGGAAGGTAACTGGTGCTGAACCGACCACATCACGGCCCAACGCTGGTAATTTGTCCATGTTGCTTGCAGTCCAAAAGTTTTTCTGCCAACGATATGTCTATTGCCAGAGCAGGAAGAAGAGATTCACGACAGAAAGACGATCCCAGCCATGGACCGGGCTGGGGGTTCAAAAGGAGCATCTTCCCGGGGAGTTGTTGACGAAAATGGTGGCAGCTCAGCACCACTTGGAACTGTCCAGGAAGAGTTAAGAAGAAGTTGGGAGGATCGACATGCTCGCTAATCCGGGGTTAAAGTGACTGAAACCGCTTCGGAAAGTGACAGATTTTCTCAAAATACCGAAACTAGTTCTCCGACTTCAAGCTTGCCGACACGTGCTCACCCCGGAAGGGGCCCAGTCAAGTTCGGCTTGAAGGCTATTGGACGACGACAACGACCGGCGGGATCGAGTCCATGATGGAGTGAAGTGATGCAGTGTCTGTTGGGTCGGGTGCTCGAGGTGCTTTGACGGGATCTGGCCGAGTTTTGGGGCCAGTGGTTTTGAAGGACACGTCTCTTGGGCTTGCGACACTGCCGCGGAAAGAAAGGTTACGGAACAGCTTTGAACGACGCTGGTTCCCGGGTCCGTCATCGACACAGTCTGTCTTCGGTGGTGAGAGGCCTCCTCCCCAAAAGAGTCAGTCAGTGACATCGTATGATGAAGTCCGACGTGAGAAGAGTCCCGCTTGTGGTTGAATACCACGCTGCTTTTAAGAAATGGTTCTTCACGAACGATACAACGACCAATAAGACAACGTCTCTAGGTCCCTACGTCAGATACTCACTCATCCTCTTTCATACCGCAGACATCTCGGGCGCCTTCTGCGCTCGTAGCGAAGGGAAGAGCAATGCGAAACCTAAAGGCCTGGAACAAACAATCTCTTGCACTCTCGTTCAAGGAGTGCTCGTGGTCCTGCCTGCGCTTCACCCGCCGTGATAAGTTGCTTTCCTCGCAGCAAAAACCAGATGCGCCGATCTTTTGACAGTCATCAATCGAGATTGGGAGCTGACGACTCAGCATCCCACTTCTTCAGTGGCGGCGCCCCGTGGGGTGGAACACCAGATCTGATGACCTGGAATGCCCCGAGTGCCCTACTGAGTGCTAGGTCTGGGGTACTGATGCCGAGGCACGGAGAATGTCGAGATTCAGAAACTCGCATCCGCAGGAACAGGACGACAACCCAGTCCAACGGCTCACCTATCAATTTACTCGACAATCTATACTCCCCCTCCCGTCTATACTCCAGCCACTAGCATACCAAAATCTCAAGCCATCTTTTCTGACAAAGTCACTTGCGGGAATGCGGCGTATCGTCAAAGCTCGCATCTCCGTGACAGTGTAAGGGTGCCGTAGTGACAATCTGACTACACCACCGGTAGGCGACTGAACCTTGATTAACGTCGTATATCAAGGGAATTGGACAAGCGATGGTTTCTGGGTCGCCTGATAGCTTTTGAATTGTCTGCAACCTTTACCTCCTCTTTTCTCGCATTGCTCAATGCTCGTCCACTTCCCGCGGAATTCTGATCTTGGTCAGGGATAAGGACAGATCAGATCGCTACCCGGCATGGCCCTACGAGTGCCACTGCCGCCACTACCCATGCACTCCTTTCAACGGTACGCCTCATGTGACTGATATTGAGACCCGCCAATGCCTGGACTGGTGCTGTACTCGCTTTGCTGCATTTTGACGTTAGCATACTTTCACAGTCTCCACCTACCAGAGAGGCCATTGAATTTTCCGCAATGGGATTATATTCTTACCTCACATTGGGATGGAGGGTGGATCCAGGCTTCGAACACTTTTCTAGACTAGTGACAACTCCATCCCTGTTGACGTCGACCGGAACAGCGTGCAAGCGGAAACCGCTTCAGCGGTGTGAATTCGACTCTCCACGTGGGATTTCGTCGCTCTCTTGACTGGATGATATAAAGGTTGCTCTTCTCTCCCGAATCGCTCAATTTCGGCGCCAAATGCTTCTAATTCCATACAGCCAAAATGGTCCCGATCCTTACGTGGGCCTATGTAAGCTTGCTGCTTCTCTCGGTTTCGTGGGCCTCCAAATGTCCAACCAAGAAGAAACCGAACATCATCTTCATCCTGACGGATGACCAAGATCTACGTCTACATTCTCTCGAGTATCAGACACAGACCATGAAGCATTTGCGTGATGGAGGGACCAATTTCGAAAAACATTTCTGCACGACTGCGGTGTGTTGCCCGCACGCGTTAGCATATTAACTGGGAAAATGGCTCACAACACAAATGTCACTGATGTCTATCCTCCATGGGGTACGTCGGGATCACAGCTGCAGCTTTACGACTTGGCTGATATGTTCTTCTAGGCGGGTACCCAAAGTTCGTCCAAGAAGGCTACAACGACAAGTATCTGCCGGTCTGGCTCCAGAATGCTGGCTATGACACGTACTACACTGGCAAACTATTCAACGCCCACAATCTCGCCAACTGGAACAAGCCACTCCCTGCAGGTTGGAATCAGACCGGCTGTAATGACCCCAAAGGTCTCATTGTGCTTGACCTTGCTGCTAATATCGTGGCGTAGTTCTCCTTGACCCGGGCACATACACATACTATAACACTTGCATACAGATGAATGATCAACCTCCAGCCTTCCGTCCGGGAGAGTACTCGACAGACATCATCGCGAACCTCTCACTCTCATGGCTTGACATGGCAGCGAAGAGCAGCCGACCTTTCTTCTTGGGGCTTGCCCCAATCGCGCCGCATACGGAATCCATCATCGGGCGCGGCAATTCGGTTTGGTTCGACGTTCCCAGACCGGCAAAACGACACGAGAAACTATTTCTAGATGCCAAGGTCCCTCGTGGGCCTAGCTTCAATCCTGAGGAGGCATGTTCATCTTGTTCTGAGGGAAGCAGAAGGGACACTAACTCCGGGTCGACATAGGCTCAAGGTGTCAGCTGGGTGAAACAGTTGCATCGTCAGAACCAGAGTGTGGTCGATTATAACGATTCATTCTACGTGAAGCGGTTGCAATCGTTACAGGCTGTTGATGAAATGGTGGGTGCTCTGTTTGAAAAGCTCAAAGCACTCGGTATGGACCAGAACACCTACGTTATCTACACCAGCGACAACGGCTTCCATATCGGTCAGCACCGCCTGAATCCAGGCAAGCAATGTGCCTTTGAGGAAGATGTCAATGTGCCGTTCCTGATTGCCGGACCCGGCGTGCCAAAGAATCATTCCGTCAGCTTCACCACGACCCATCACGACGTAAGTCTGATCCAATCTGCGCAATATACCGTGTACTCATTGTTCACAAACTCGAGTCACCGTAGTTGCGTCCTTGGCTTTTGAGGCAGTCCAGCTGACCATCGGACAGTTTGCAGCTACAATTTTCGATCTCGCACAAATTCCTCTTCGTCAAGACTTCGACGGCACACCCATGCCATTGACATTACCCGCCATGGATAAGGTGGCAGCGTCAACCATTCGTGAGCACGTTGCCGTCGAATACTGGGGAGTCGCAGGCGAAGAAGGAGCATTGTACAGATCGGGCGTCAATGGTAGCTTCAGTAAGCCTCACTTGGGTCGTCGGCAACCAGGGCTGGGCACTGACGATTTGATCAGCACCTCATGCAAATAACACCTACAAGGGTATACGTATCGTCAGTCCACAATATGACCTAATGTACACTGTGTGGTGCAACCACGAGCACGAGCTATATGACATGAAGGTACGGATGAATTGACAGCTATCGCTATTGGGACCTGACTCTTCGAACTGACAACTCTTGGGATGATCCAGACCGATCCGTACCAGACCAACAATCTGTTCCAAACGTTCGTCCAAATCAATGGCCAGCCCGTCAATAACGTGGTGTCGAGGTTGAACGCGCTGTTGATGGTGATGAAGTCGTGTAAAGCGAGCCAATGCGTTGAGCCATGGTTGACTCTTCACCCAGATGGGAAGGTCACCCATCTCATCGACGCTCTAGATCCTAGCTTGGACAGCTTCTATGCCAACCAGCCCAAGGTCGCCTTCACCGAGTGTGCTCTAGGCTACATCATCGCTGCTGAGGGGGCCATGAATGTGGATCCATACCATGTACCTGACTGAGCGATGAGAGTATCATGACGATTGTTCAAGGTCAGTTGGACAAATCACGTTCGACGAGGGGAAGCTCTAATCGCTCCAGGGCCACTCTATCTGCAACTCGAGGTAGAATTATGTACAAATTCTGTAGACTGATAGAACTAGAGACCAAATCTCAATCAGTGCCACATAAGAATTGGTATATACAGCCTACAGGTAGTGAAAAGTGCGTTCGCCATCAGCATCATGCATTGTTGAGTCCTGACTGGGTGAATTCTACGGGCCGTCAACTTCGCTCATCGATGTCCGCGCATCATGGTGAGCCAACATAAAAGCATGTGTTCCATCGGCGCAATCAGTAGAAGCCTAGCAGGCCATGCGGCCTTTTGCGCCTCTAATTTTCAAGAGCTACCCAGCGCTTCTTGAATTGCCTTGAGGCCACCACCGAAATCCTACATGCAATTCGTGTCAGTCGGCTGTCTGTTCCCACAAGACCTGTTAGAGATAGGGCGACTGCGCCAGTCACTCACCGCCCAAACTTGATGTGATTTGATCTTGACACTGTCATCGGCACCCTGGTCGAGATAGATCCTGGCGGCCCATTCACCTGACACCGATTTTCCGTTCGCAAGGCCCTGAACGGCCGACCCGATGATGAGCAAGTCTGTCGCGCTGGAATCGAATACGTAGACTCGAATCAACTTGTGACACCGCGTTTTGATCACGCTCCATCCATTGTCGCGAGACTTTTGGATTTCTGGGAAGCAAAATGTTTAGTCCATTGGGGACCGACACACTTCCCCCACGGGGCCAACAAGGTCTCTGCCACTTTGTTTTGGAGGGTGTTGCGGTGTGGAATCGACAGGTCACATATGTCGCCACCGTCACCATCATCGAAGAGTTACTCGTACATACCTGCGTGGCCGCGGACAGGCCCGGCGTGGCCCATGATGTACCCGTCATCGGTATAGAGGTCCGCAACTTCGGCACCCGCTGTCGGTGTGTTGGTGTCCAAGAGGTTAAAATACTTGTCGAGGAAGTCCTTTTTGGCTTCGGACAGCTCGATGGACGAGGGCCATTCTGTTTCGGCGGTGTTGTATCCCATGGCTGGTCGCGTTCCGGAGGGTGTGGGAGTCTGATTTTGAGGGTTCTCCTGGCTCGTGGTTTGTCGGACTGGACTGTGGATAGGTCGGGAGACTGCTTGATGTACAGTACGGTTTACCTTGGGAATCAGCCTCAGATAATCCGCCACGGGGTAATATCACTTACAGGAGTATTTTTCCTGCTCCGTCACGCACATCGGGATCATAGCTCCCAACAGCCCATACGGGTAGCAAATGGGAACTCATCTCGAAAAGCCAGACACTACATGCCTCGCAGTCGACATTCTGAGTCACCGAAGTTGTGGAACCATGAGGCCGAGAACGGTCACTGTAAGGAGTACTCCGTACCATATCATCACTCCACTTCACTGTCCAAAGGAGGTAATTGGGTATCCGTAGATCTCAAGTGGTCACTGGTCAGCATTCCACGGAGCCGAGGCTTGAGGTTTTGTCCACGGAGAGCATTACTCCGTGAGATCGCCTTCAACCGCGAGCCTGAAGCCACCATTCCTGTATTCCGGAGTCCGTACTGTCCCATGATTGTTCAGTAAGCTTCCCAGGAAATTCTACGTAGCCGGACATATATTCGGCAGGGTATTCCGGGCACGGTTCAGGGCACTAGAGGTCTCCTCGATATCTCGCGGTTTATTTAGGTACCTACATGTAGCTTAGGTAGGCACTGGTTCACGGGCTAATGGTGGCCTGGGCCGCCTAGAGAGGCGAATGCCACTAATGGACGCGGCCAATCGGTTAGCCCCGGGAAAACTGGATGGTGCGAATACGGGGCACCCAGACAGCCTGTTAGGCCCGGTGAGAAACCCCCGCGACCCCTAAAGGCCAGGCAAGGGTCAGGCGATGGAGTTAACTCCAGTCGCAAACCGGCCACAATCCCCGGTCTTTCTCTTCAGACCTAGTCGTCTATCTTCCTTCTGCCTCCATGATAACCTCACGATGAAGGGACATCGACACACCAGATGGCAAGGGAAGGTCCTGTAGCCACGGCTACCAGCGGTGGTCGGAAACCTACTCGACGCAGGCCGGCGTTGCTTGCCTGTGATAACTGTCGAACCAGAAGAGTATGTGACCTCTGCCTAAGCCAAATTCCCGGACGTTGGACTTATCGCAACAGCTCAAATGCACATACAATGAAAGGCCTTGCATGAACTGTAGACTCTACCAGAAGGCCTGCACGCAATCAGAAAACCCAAAAGCCAAGAGCGCCTTGATGCGATCCTCAGAAGTCCCCTCCTCCAACACCCTTGATCATGGCATTTCAGACCAGGGAGTCGCATCGAGGACTTCGACATTGGTCGGGCCTGCTCCGGATTTGCTCAGACCTCTAGATGCAACTCCCGCCCTGCAAGAGCATAGCGAGGGGCAAATGGACTGTGCTTTCACCAGCTGCGAGCCTCTGAACTGTCAGCTTCTCACTTTCCAGTAACCACGATTGCAGTAGAGCCACTGACAGTCGACGCAGATGATCGTCCCCAGCAGCCTATTCAGCTGGACGAGCTCTTCGAAGATGAGATCCTGAGATCAAATGTCCCATTCCATGACTTCTCCTTCCTCGGCGATCTGGTGGACGGCGATTTTGAGTCTTTGGACGACCCACAAGCTACATGCCTGCCCGAAACAGCTATCGCGCCACCGGTAGCTGGTCTTGACGACCACGTTCAAACTCCCCGGTACACGCCCACATCCATCCCTCGCTTCTCTCAGGAGGATGATAAGCTTTCAGGTGTGGAATCTCTCCAGCCAGCTTCCGGGAGCGCGAGATCGGAGGGTCATATTCCAGAGGGGCTTTTCATCAGCATCGCCAATGCCAAAGGCGGTTATCTAGGCAGGGTCAATGCCCTGTATTCGCAGTCTTTTCGCTGACTCAGGATTCAGGATCCAATTCTAGCGGTGCCACACTCGCAAGTGCCATCCATACTTCCAAAACCAAACACCCTCAGCTCTCGAGTGACCTCAACTTCGAATGGCTTGTCCAGGCCGCAAAACATATCGCCAAATTCGATTCAGACGCTACAATGGAGCTCTCATCAGGACAATTACCTCCAAAATCTCTTGCGGCGATTTGCGTGAACGGTAAGGGTCGTCCATTTCGCCGAAGCAATCATGGTTCATGGTCGCTTACTCTTGCCGATAGCCTACTTCGATAATGTCCAAGCGTATTACCCGATCTTGCGCAAACATCAGTTCCAAGCCAGCTGGGAGTCATTGTATGATCGAAACCAGAAGACTCATCGGGTGGCACAATACATACTTTCCTGTCTGGTCTTCACGATTGGTGCTGCCAGCGATCGGATAAATTCTGCGTTTTCATCGCCATTGGATCAATTCTCCCGTCATCTGTTTCAAAAGGCCTGCGCACTGGTCTACGTTCCCATGACCGAAAGTTCCCTGGTGGCATTGCAGGTGATGCTGCTTCACGTGCGTGCTACTTGACGACATGAGACATACATGTTCTAACCTCTCCCCAGACCATGTTCTTGGAACTCCACGGTCAATACAGTCTGGCATCGGTTCTCTGCGGATTGAGTATCCGCATGTGTCAGCAACTCGGCCTACACAGGAGAAGTCCTCTGGACCTCAACCTTGATCCAGATGAGATCAGATTTCGATCTCAACTGTGGTGGATTGCCTTTAGATTCGAAACGTGAGTTGTCAGAAAACGTCGACATGCTAGTTAGAGTTCATAACATTGTCTGACTGTCACAGATCTTCCGCCATGTGTGAGGGAAGACCAACTGCAGTCCGCGAGCTGACATACGATGTCGACATCTTGCCGCTTTGCTCTGACCAAACCAAAGCGTCAAACACTGCTGGATTGGTGTCTGCGATCCACTGTTGGTATGCCAGACTGACCGAACTCTCAAACCGATTCGTGACCATCAACAGTCTTTGCATCACCCCAAATACCAGGTTAGAGACTTTGAAGGATCTTAACGATACCCTGACGCGGTGGAGGGATCAGTTGCCTATTACACTTCAACCAGGACTAGACGTGGTTGCCGACTGGAACTCGTATATGCTGGTGGCGCCGCTTCATCTCGATTACTTCAATCTCTTGCGGTCGATTCACTGGGCTTGTATCACGGCGATCACCACGAATTGGGAGGCCATCCATGATCGACATAGATCCTCACTCCAAGCCATTGAGATGAGGGTGTTGTCTGCAGCACGTTCATACGTCCAAATCTTAAACAGGCAAGTTACCGTGGTTGTTGTCCCCACCGCGAGGCACTCTTGAACTCTCCTAATGTTTGTCTCTTCCAGCATTGCTGATGGCAGCACTGGTGGAAGTTTATTTCCCCTCTCGTAAGTACTTACCTTCGTGGATTGTTCAGTATTCAAATCTGAAACTTGCTGCAGCATCCGCACAAGTCAATACTTATCCACCTCGGCGATTCTGCACAGGGCCATCTGCGACAATCCCAGCCGCTTCGCCGCCAAAACTGACTCGGAATATCTTCGCGCAGTCAAATTACACCTTCAGCGCGACTCGTTATCATGCGTGTGGAGTTCGGCGCTGCAGAACGCTTTGGATACAATGCTCCAAATATCGGAGCAGTTGGTTCGCGGTGAATCAGTCAACAACGACTCTTCGACAGTGAACACTTTTTAGAGCTTGCAAGACCACTCAGATCAGATCGGAAACATTCATTCGACTTTGGATACTGGAAGTCTGGAGAAGCACCTGACGTCTTGAAACCCCATTTTGATCCTAATAGCAGAGACATTGTCTTGGAGGTTGAGGGATCTGGGGCAGTCTCAACGAGCCAGGCCATGTCTTTGACCGGGCCAATCGTCACCTCGGCAGGATCAAAGTCACACAAAACCCGTGGAGAGGGAGTCCCCAGACACTTCAGAGTACCCGTATGATGGTGGCACGGCATGCCATTGGGCCACGACTCACGGAACTACCAATGACAGCAGTTCTGCCCCCGGATGGCGCTCACTCGGACTCATCAATCAGGGACATGGGCTTGCAGTAAGTCGTGAGGTTGTCACTGGACAGAAACGGGCCTGGGAAACAGGGAGAATCGCTTTCACTCACTTATATGATACTGTGGTGGCTCTGCTGGTTCATGGATCTCTTGGGTGTTAGTGTCGTGGTCTCGTGGTTTTTCTATCTTCAAGCCTCGAACGAGGCGGACCGGAACCCAGTCTTGACGACCATCGCTCCCTCAATGCTCTCATGAATCAAAAAAAACTACTCGAAGACCATCTTGTTGGAAATCGTGCCAATTTCGTCGATGGCGATCTCGACAACATCCCCGTCCTTCAACCACGCCGGTGGCTTCATGAATGCCGCAACTCCACTGGGCGTGCCCGTCATGATGACCGTGCCCGGTTCCAGCGTGTGTCCCCTGGCCGTGAACCTGACGATGTCTTGCACGGTGAAGATCAGGTCCTCGATACTGCCTCTCTGACGCTCGAGTCCATTGACCTTCGTGACCAAAGTCAAAGTTTCTGGGGACGGAATCTCTGCAGTCGAGCAGATGACGGGTCCGAGGGGCGCAAACTTGTCGAAACTCTTCGAGTAACCTGCTTGTTGACCGGATCTGTCAGGCATCTGCCAATATCGAGAAGAGACGTCGTTGCCAACGGTATACCCGAGCACGTAGTCTAGCGCGTCGTCGGTCTCCGAGAGGTCCTTGCATGTTTGTCCAATGACGATACACAATTCGCCCTAGACAGACAGGTTACCCATGTCAGGAGGAGGTTTGAGCGTCGAGTAGCCAAGGCGCGCGTCTTGAAAACCAGGTAAAAAGTGCCTGTGGCTTGTGGAGTTGCCATACCTCGTAGTCGAGAAATTGAGCATCTTTGTGGATTGGGATATCATCGGCTGGACCGGCGAGACAAGCTGAAAGATCAACCCTTTAGCATGAGCACATCCACTGCACCCCCCTGAGTCACCTACAAGAAGGCTTGTTGAACAGGACCGGGTATACCGGTGGGTTTGTCTTGATCGAAAACACCTGGTCAGCTCTGAGTGTTGAAACCAACGCTGCTTTGAGGCTGATATATCTATGACACTGGACCAGAATCGTCTAGCATCTCTGTTCCACTGTACCTTTGTCTCAGCCGCATGTGCCTTGTAGTTGAGCCCGATACAACTGAAAATCAGCACACGAGGCAGAGGTGCGAGAACCTGTCGAGTAGAGTGTCCCGGTTAGATCGGCGTCGGATATCTCATCATGAGGGGGGGAAGAGAGAGATGCTCTGTTCTGTTCACTCTCCATACCTTGTGAATAACATCCTTCTGGCCACTCTTTTGGAAATCGGGATCCCATGGAACTTGTCCAGTATAGACTTCAACCGTCGAACCGACCAGAGTCTTCAGATCTCCTAACGCCGCTTCGCCGTACTTGACCTCGCCTGACTCGTTCTCGAAGCGCACAAGGCGATGGAATTGGAATGAGGAGACCGTTGTTAAAATGTAAAATTTGACTCGATGGAGAAGCACGTGGTGTCAGTGGAAGTGAAAATGTCAGTTCATGAGTCTCTCGACTTGGAAGTCGATACAGTGATGAGTGAATGGAATATGTGTCTCCGTGACGAAGGCCACAAGTCCAACTAAACGAAGTACGCTGGCGGAGAGTCGTGACAAGATACTGCAGCAAAGCACGGCAGGGAGTACTTGTACTGAGTATTTGTACTGAGTACTCACCCCTGGTCTTCGGCACTGCTGGGCACCTGGGCCAGTGGGTGGACTCTGGGCGTTCAGGCAGCGGAGTACACAGAGCATGTCGAGCTTCCAAAGTCCGTGGCATAGGTTGCGGTCAATATGGAGATAAGACTCTGGTCGAACCATCCTGGGGCCACCGAACCATCATCGTTGAACGTACCTATTTACGTAGTTAGGAAGTACTGGACTCGGTAAAACTTTTCGAAGCCGACATACGCGGGCACGAGTCCCGCTCCGGACCTGTCCCAGTCACAAGGGTCTGGATTCATTCATTCCGTCCTCCATGCCTCGGTGGTTGATCGGCAAACTTGATTGGCCGGCCTTGTCAATCCCCCGGAGGAAATGGGAATCGAATCCACCTGCAACAGCCGAGACAGCCCGGAGTTTGGAATTCGGACTTTGGAGCACTTGCATGGACCAGGCATTGCTGGTGGGTGCCGCGGATATGGTGTCTGACCATTATCACCTGTCATGTATCTCATCTACCCAAAGTTGTTGTCATGGTCGAGGCTCAAGACCGCATAAAGATCCTCAGACCTTTCTACCAGTTTGCGCTGCTTCCACCGCTCACTATACTTGCAAGGTCTTACCGTCTTCGCATCAACATACAAACACACACACAAACTCTCTCTCTCTCTCTCTGAGTTCTCGCGCCATGGCAGTAGACTACGACAACGTAGGCAGTCAAGTGGTCAAGCCCAACCACCTGGCTCACGTTGTCCTGCGCACGAACAACCTCAAGCCCATGGTGGATTTCTACAAAACATTTCTCGGGGCCCATGCATCATTCGAGAACGATATGATTTCGTTTCTGACGTACGACCACGAGCACCATCGTGTCGCCATCGCACAAATTCCAGGAACAGACCCCCCGAACCATCAGACGTGCGGTCTCGAGCACATCGCCTTCGCGTACGACAAGATGGAAGACCTGGTCCTGTCCTACCGCCAGCGCAAGGCCAACGGGATCCTGCCGGTGTGGTGCGTCAACCACGGCCCAACCACTTCCATCTACTACGCGGACCCGGATGGGAACCAGGTCGAGACACAGGTCGACAACTTCGACACCAACGAGCAGGTCGAGAAGTTCTTGGCTTCTCCCGAGTTTGCGCAGAACCCTATGGGAACGGACTTCGACCCGGAAGATCTGGTCAAGAGGCTGCAGTCAGGCGAGGACATGGCTTCCATCAAGAAAAGAATCGAGATTGGTCAACGATTCATGCGGTGAACATCCTCGTGGGTCGATACCCTTCGGCAGAAGATGCGCGGGTGATGACCTGGTGTTCAAGAAGTATGCACTCCAAGGGTCCCACTGCCAAGGATATCGACTTGTGAGCCGTCATGCCATGCATAGAGAGTTCTCAGAAGAAGTGCTACCTGCCCTCGGCTTCGCCTGCTAGTTGATTCCTAGTAAAGATACCCCTTGGGCGTAAGTCATTCAGTTCCCCAAGTAAGTTTGGTTTAAAAGGGTTAAGTGAGAGTTAAAAGCGGCAACTAGCACACCATGAGATCACACTTCTGAAAAAAACGTAAATGCAGAGAGAGCTTAGCGAAACCCTGCCATATCTTCCCTCTGACTATAGTGGACATGCCGGGGGCCTGCTCCGGCGTCGTGATTAGCCTGCATGGCTACCTGTTCACCCATGCTAGGCGCTTCCAGTGGTGAAACGACTTGTGCTGTAAAACGAGGGAAGAAATCCTGTAGTCGATGCAAAGATCAAACATAACATACGCTTCGACGATTGCCCCCAGGTCGCGTCCGGAATTCTAATGACTGCGGGCTCCACGACTGCAGGATGGACTATCGGAGTAAATTCAACTTTGAATGGGCCTGCGAGTCCAATGTCAGCAATCAGATCGACTGCTTACGAGACTCAACCTATCCGGCAGCGGCTAGAATTTACCTCGTCGTCAGATCTCCCGGCGAACCAAAAGCAGCCGCCCCTGGCTTGATATATCATATACTCTGTCGCTGGAGAGAGGCCATTCCCCAGGGATGACTCTGTTGGCGTCCCTGCATGGAAGCGACTTTCTACATAGGTCCCTTTGCGGTAAATTGTAGCTTCTGTAGACAAAAGCGCAGCGAGAACGGGTGATGATGGAGGAGACAGTAGCATATATGGGATTGCTCTCGTGAGGAAAATCGAGGGTCCGGTACAGTACAATGGTCAACGATCGTTTTTGAGCATTTGCGAAATAGTTCAAGTCGATCGCGTTAACTACTTTAATTAATGTCTAGTCACTCTCGATCTTATCACGTGACCACTGGCTTAGTCAACCCGAGTTCCTTCGGTTCTCTTGCTCCATGGAGTCAGTGGCTGTCGTCATAGCTTCGGACGTGGCCTGCAGGTCAGGCCTGTTTGTAACATTGAGTCTACTTCATACTTGATAAAACACTTTAGCACTCTTTAATTAATAAAGTGAATAAATAAGTAATGTCTCTTAACTAACTATTAAGCATCACACAATAAAGTCATAATGACCCTTAACATCCCGCCAGAATTTTACCCCCTCCCATCAATGGGTCAAGGGTGGTCACTCACCCGGGTCGCGCGAGTCGCGGGTGAGCAAGGGCGGCATCACCCATTTTCTTAATTGGGCGGGAGCTGCGAGCAGTTCAACCATACCTTGGCGACAGGAAATATCAGCACCCGTCGTGGATAGCAGTAGCTACGGGTGAGATAATTGGTGAGAAGGTATATATGACCGATTACAATATCTGTATTATTTTGAAATCGTGTAAGGGCTCGTGTTGACGTCTAAAGTGCACTGCATCTATTTTAGCTCGTTCACGGGATGCTACGTGTTAAGACTAAGCGATACCCTATTAACGCCTAGTCACGTGATTAGGCTTATATAAGCTAGGATCACGTGGTATCTATTCGGCAAGGCTATACTTAAGCCTTACGGAAGATTTTATAAAACGCCATTCTATTCTATAGGATTAGAAATTACTCAACTTAATTTCTAAGCATCCTAGGAGTTAACTCGTATTTACGAATACTCGGTAATTACTCTCGTACTTACGAGATATTATAACGGAGTCTACGGCTATATAAAATAGGCCTATACTCCTTTACTTAGATAGATCTTAAGTCATTCAATAAGATAGAAAGCGACTATACATTCTACTCCTTCTTTCTACGGTCTTCGGCTACTTCCATCATAGATCCTAAACCTTGTCCCCCGGACACTACGGAAATCCGGGGGTGAAAATCCTAAATTATAGTATTTATGAATGAGACTAGCCATAACTGTAGGCTAATGGCTATCAAATAAGGGAGTGCTTATAGATAGTCGATCGAATCTATGTGTAGCGAATGGAACGCGTTGGCAGTCAAGGTACCTAGTGTTTATTCCACCACGCAGGGCGTTTCACTACGCCGGGATGTCGATTATACCTAGGATATTTAGTCAGACAATGCCATCTCCGTCGGACTCCAAGATTTGAAAAAGGCATACATCGAGGCTTTTCCGGATATCTATGCGATTGCTACCCAGAACATGGATGGAGCCTGATACATGGACTCACTAGGCCACTTAATAGGTATCGTGGACAACCTAGTAATAGCGTCTCGGGCAATGCTAATCCTAGTCTTACATAGTCTTTTAGATAGGGTAATTCGATATTAGCTTTAGGTAGGGAAGCAATAGAGCATCGATTAAACCCCTCTACTAAACACTACTAATTAGAAGCTATATATTAACGAGGAGATAGTATGGAGTGGCCGTACTTAGGTAGAAGCGTATAATAGGATAGGAAAATAATAGCCTTCGAAGACGAATGGAATAGGGTAATATTTATAGCTTTTCAGAATACTGTTAGTTCTACCGAATCGACATTGTCTTTATTCTCGGATAGACTAGTTTAGTTACGTTTTTGGTCATCGAAAGCTAAAAAATCAAGACGTATTTATTATTATTTATTAAAACCCTTTCACCTAGGCTCTCCCGTCTATGATAAATCCTCCTTAATCCCCGGTCTTAAGATCTATACCTAATAGAGAAGGAGATTCTAAAATACCGAGAACTCTAGGTCGGCTTCTAGGAGATAATGTGGACAATAAAATCGGTTGTAAAGAGTATAGCAAAATATCTCTAGGAATTCTACTGTGTATTCCGAAGTCGCCGACCGCGAGAGTAGATAGTTAGAATCGGTCTGTCCGGAGACGGAATTTCGTATTTAAAATGATAGTAGATGGATTTAGAAGTAGAAGAACTTAAATTATATATCCTTTTTAAATATTAATAATATTACTTAAAAGCCCGTCCGTATTCTATTCTAATAGATAAGACTTACCGCACTCTAGACGTACGCGCTACCGGCTAGGTAGTAGATCGATGTATTCTTATTGCCGTTCGAAATATAAATATTGTCGCCTTCAACATTAGGTGGATTTACGGCGCAGCTTTAAGTAGGCTCTCTAGAGAAAAAGCCACCTCCTATTGCTGGGGTACTTAGCCCTGTGGGTACGGAAAAGCGAACGCTAATGCTATACTAGTAAGGACTAAAAGAAGCGTTTTGGAGTATATAATTAATTATTAGAAAAGAATTGTTCGCTGTAGGCGAGAGTTCCAGGATATAGGGCTATTCATAAATAGGAATAGGTAGCTAGTTGTCGAGCGTCTAGTAGATATATCCCCCCCCTAATCGGCATCGGCGTATCCTACTAAGGTAGGTTTTGAGTAGTATAGAAGTCCTAGATCTAGAACCCCTTTTAAATAGCTTAAAAGCTTAGTTAATAGTTTTTCGTGTAAA